CCGAAGACACGTGTGTCAACTGCAGAGGATTACCTTCAAGTTCTGCAAGACTAGTGCCGACAGTAAAGGCATCCGACAGTTCATTGAGACAGATTTGGTGGACTGGAGTCGCGCCAACTCCGGTGTTGTGGTGTATCTGAAGCCCCGCCGACACCGAAGTCCTGTGATTGTCACCGAATATCTCAATGGTTTGAGACACTGGATGGGCGTCAGAAAGTTCACACCCGTTGAGCTCGAGTGGTGGCTCGACTTCTTGAGGGATAGGTCTGGCTATGAGTTGTCGCAACTGATGAGTCCCGTGAATGTGATGTTGCCCTCAGTTCAGGGCCCGTGGCATCCATTCCTCAACCGCGACACTCGCCTTAATGTGTGTCAATTCCCGGACGCCGAGAGCGGCGCCTATTTGTACGACAAACCCACGGCCTCTCAACAACTCATTCAAATGTCTCAACAATCAAATACATCTCAATAATAATTATTATAATAATAACTTAAACGACATTTATTTGTCTATAGATTTTACATTGAAATCAATTTTCATGATTCGGTATTTCATTGTAAATAAAAAACAAATTAGTTTCTCATTAAAGTGTAGTTTACATTAGATTTACAGTAAAAATATGTTTAAATTATGGTTTAATTTTGGCGGTTATATTGTTTTTTACACTAACGGCGGCTTTCAAACTAAATTTATCACGAGATCAATAGATTTATATTAATATTTGCCTGAATTAAGTTGCAAATGATTGTATAAAATATATAATTAATGTACAGTTGAACAGTGGATACACTATAAGTACACCTGAGTGTTGGGTTGTGTGCGAATAGGTGTTAAACTTAGGCCATCTCTTCGCAGACTTGACTCCAGTGGTCATCGTCTGAGGGATGAGCGGTGATGATGATAGTGGCGTTGCCGTCGCCCTTAGTTGCCGTCAATTCGGACATGGCTTGGGTCAAGAGGTCACCAGAGCTGCCCTGAAGTAGTTCCTGAAGATCGGCTGAAGATGTGTTTGATTGGGACAAATCGTTGCCCATTGTCGCCGATATAATGCTATTGAGATTTCCTAATATTGTAATCAGATTATTGTTGGCTCCCATTGAGACCGTCGATTGGTTGGGGCTATGGCTGGACATTATGTTCGGCGTTTGGGTTATGGCCTGCGATGGCATCGTTTGGCTCATTATAGGCGTCGACGTCATGGCGAGAGAGCGCTGTCGTGAGCGGGCGTTGGTGTTGATGATAGCCATCTGTTCCGGATGTTTCTTGCGCTGGTGTTGAAGTAGTTTGGCTTTACTGGCGTACTGTTTGTGACACCAGTCACAGTAGTGCGGGTGAGTTGTTATACTGCCTACAGTTGCGCTGTACGTGGGGTTTGGGATCCCCGGTATCACTGGTATACCTCCCTTATGTCGGTTAGACAGTGGCAGCGATTTTCCTAATGTTTTCAATGTTTAATATATTAATACCGGTAATAGTTGTTAACATTTTAGTTTATAACATGGTATATTAGAGTACAAACCCGGATGGTTCTTCATTATGTGAGCTTTCCTTTTGGAACTCGATTTATATACTTTGTCACAATATTGACAGTAATAATCACGTGTTGTCTGAATATTAAACAACGATTAAGTTTTGACAACAAAATATTTGTCAATTTAATTACCTTAAGTATGGGTAGATTGAGCTCCGGTAC